TATTGACAGTGTCAAGGATTTCACTATTTGGATTCACAATCAACACCCGTGGAAGCAACAGTCAAGAAATGAAATGATAACGTTGCATCATTTCATTTGGGCAAATCTGCTTTAAAAGACCTCTTTAAAGTGTTGAAGAGCAAAGATGTCACCTTGAAGGCTAAAGTGCCACTGACCTAAACCATGGTAGTATATTCAGTCACCTCATATGCATTCAAAAGCTGGACAGTGAATAAGGAAGACCATAGAAGTATTGATGCCTTTGAATTATATTGTTGCTGAAGAACACTTAATATGTACTACCAGAAGAACGAACAAATCTTTTTTGGAAGAAGTGTAGGCAGAATGTTCTTTAGAAGAGAAGATGGTAAGACTTCTTCTCATGTGCTTTGAACATCTGTCTTATCAGGAGAGACGAGTCCTTGGAGAAGGACATCCATCATTCTTGGTAAAAGTACAGGGTCACCGAAAGAGAGGAGGTCCCCTACAAGGTGTATTGTCAGAATGACTGCAACACTGCACTCAAACATAGCAATAACTAGAAGATGGTTCAGGACTGGGCATTGTTTTGTTCTTTGGTACATAGGGTCCCTATGAGTTGGTGCTCACTCAATATCAACAACAGTTATTCTACTGCCTTAGTGCAGAATGGAAGGATGATCCTTTTTGAAATAGAACCACCTTGCTTAATTTTTTCTTATTCAAAAACAAGAAGCTAAACTTTTAATGGGTGGGGGTTTTAGTTGTAAAATAATTACAAGGTTGATCTTCTGTTGGTTTGGTTAATTTTTACTATTTCTTGTAGAAAAAAGATCAGTGATAGACTTAGTATTCTACTTTCTTTGCTGCTTTTTGTATTTTTTTCATTATTCTCTCTTACTTTGTAACTACTTATGAATAATAAACATTGCCTTATTTCAACAGTTTCAAAATGTGCCCATAGGAAATTAAAGGACAATTATATAGACACAAGTTATTAAACTTCCACTTTATAGTTTGAGATATTTTGTGGTCATTAGATCCGTGATACTTTTCCTAAGTTTTTTGTCTTGGTATATATACTGTCTCCAATTTGCATATTAATTTATTCATCTTTAATTCATGCTAAAATTACTTATTTTATGACTGCTTTCTTCCAGGGGTTTGCGCTAAGGGTTATCAACCTTAATTCTCTACCCTCCAAGAAGTGGCCAGTGGTTGTCACACACCACGTATCACCTTGACCAGTGTATCAGTTATATACAGTTTTCAGCACCTTTTTTCCTTTCACTCAGGAAAAAAATATCTATATTCAAGGGGGTGAGAGAGGTGGTATAGTTAATATTGAAACCATTCTAGTGGAAGGAAATAGTGAATCACTGCCTTGATTCTGTGCAGGGATTCATATGGCTGCTTATGATATCCTGTACAAAAATGATCTTGATGTTCTGATGTGCCAGGATGCTTCTGAGCACATAAAGGAAATGGCCTTGTGAAAGAGGTGGGATGTACACAAGAAATTGTAACACAAGAGAAAGTTTGTAAAATGATTTAGCAATGCAGAGTCTTTCTAGTGTGTTTCAGGGGGAGGAGATTAATTTTGGGCATCTCAGAAACAACATAATATCTGAAGTAGTATATTGGCTATATGGAAAGAATTAGAATGGTTGGTCATGAATACAATTATTTAGAACCCAAAAGCCATAGATACCACCCATTAATTTGATCCTTGATATTCTGTTCTTGTTTGACCATTGAAATTATCCATGTATACACAGTTACAAATGTACACAAATACTTTCACACATAATTAAATAGTATAGTGAAAATCCTTGGGGCTAAATTATGTATTTTCCTTTAGGCACTGACAGTCACTTTGCCCTCCTCCAGTTAATAACAGCTGCCTGACTTACAGTTTCCCATTGATTTCTTTTACTATTTAAAAATTGTGTTATGAGAAAATATTGGGCTCCCGATATGGGTTTAATTACCACTCAAGAAACTCATCCTGAAGTGATTAATAAGCCATGAAAATAACCATTTCCTCTTCTCTCTGTGATTAGCATTGGTATTTTTGGAAATTGGGTTGCCTGTGCTAAGCTTTGTTTGTAGATAGAATGGGAATTGTTAAATGGCCTATCAGTTCATAAGAAATCTTTGTACTTTTATTAAGAGCACACCAGATACCTATTTCTATTTAGACTTTTCAATAACTCTGTGCACTCTTGAGGCAGGCATACAAGTCATATAATTGCTTCAGATATTCAGCAGAAGTTTCTTGCTAAGAAATCCACAGGACATGTTTTTCTTTTACTCCTTTTTTTGGTCCATTCCTTTTCTTTCTTTCTTTTTTGACTAGATAGAGCTTTTAATAAATGAATGGTGATTTTTATCAAAAGGAAGATTTTATTAAAGTGTGGACTTTAATTGCAGTATAAGAAATAATCCAAGTGTCCATCAGTAGTGAAATGATTGAATAAATTGTGATACATTCATATTTTTAATTTTACATACCAAAATAAAAAACAAAGCCCAAATCCACTGTTATCAAGTCAATTCTGACTCACAGTGACCCTCATTGGGTTTCCAAGACTGTAAATCTTTATGGAAATAGATTGCCTCATCTTCCTCCCACAGAGCAGCTGGTATGTTTGAACCACCAACCTTCTGATTAGCAGCCACATGCCTTATGCACTGCACCACCAGAACACGGTTATTTAAAATTGTCAGTGATCAAATTGTATTGACCTAAAGAGAAGAGCATATATGCAACTTAAAAAAATATTTAAGAGCTATGTTTACTAATAATATTTTGTACATTTAGAAAAGTATAGATTGATATAATTCCTAAGGACATTGAAGTTGATCAAGAGGGACGGTTATTAGCAGAACATTATCCAGAAATACCCTCCTGCCTGTATGATAATTTAAGAAGTTCTGGTGGCATAGTGCCTAAAGCATTTGACTGCTAACCAGAAGGTTGGCGGTTCAAACCCACCAACTGCTCTGCAGATGGAAGATGGGACAATCTACTTCCATCAAGATTTATCACCTTGGAAACCCAATGGGGGTCACTATGAGTTGGAATCTACTCGATGGCAGTGAGTTGGGTTTGGTTTTTATATGATAATTTAGTGTAAAATTAAAGTGATGTTTCAAAGCAATATGAGAAAACTTGAGTTATTTAATAAATGACATTGGGTCAGTTGGCTAGCTATTTGGAAAAGAAGAATCAGCTAGATCCCTATTTCATTCCTTTTATTAGAATGGGTTCCAAATTGTTAGAATTTTTAATTAATTGTTTGTATTAAATAATACAAGTTCTAGAAGAACACATTGGTTTAAAACACACACACACACACATATATGGTTTTTTGTTTTTAAATTTTGGAGTAAGGGGAAGACCTAAGCATGATCTAAAATCCAGAAACATTAAGGTAGATGGATAAATTTGCCTAAGATATATTGTTTCAAAGACTTGAGAATTGGATGATTCTTGAAAATACATGTTCATGGACCCTAGTTTCAGCACCATGGCATTTACAGTTTAATGCTATATGTATGCACTTTGAACAACAAACACATAATGCTGAACCCAAAGACCACTACCCGGTAGTTTCAGCCACCATGTTTATGTTTATAATTGCATCAGTATTCATGTACCATTGAAATTGATGGCATTTAAGTGTATTGTTTGAAGTTATGTCTAAACAATAAGTTACATATTAATGGTGTTCCAAATGAATTAATGAGAAATAAATCAGAAAAGAAAAGTGAGAAAAAAACATATAAGAAACTGACATTTGTAGTTACCTCTGTGCTGTGGGGCGGGGTATGATGGAGAGGCCAGCCTCTTTTCAGTTTATATCCTTCTAGACTGTTTCCACTTTTATAATATGTTGCTTTTATCATCAAGAAGAGCACTTAAAAAAAGTCATTAAAAGTAATTTCCAATTTTGGACTTGTAGAAGATTTTGTCACATGTATATGTATGCCCTGGTTTTACTTGACTTTTACAGTCAGTCACCCATTAAACCAAAAAACCAAACTCACTGCCATCAAGTTGATTCTGACTCACAGCGACCCCCATTGGGTTTCCAAGGAGGTACATATTTACGGAAGTAGATTCCCCAGTTTTGCTTCCGTGGAGTGGCTGGTGGGTTTGAACCACCAACCCTCTGGTTAGGCACTGTGCTATCAGAGCTCCTTAATCGTCCATTAGGAAGAAAATATTAGGGAAAGCAAATTATTTTGCCCGATCGTTGTGCCATGTAAGAGGGCGACATGAAGATATTTGTGATTTGTTGTATCAGAGAGGCACAGAGGGTGCCTACCTCCCCCAAGTGACCTCTAGTGTGTTCTTGAAGTGAGTGTTTGGAGGATACACACAGCGGACTTAAAAAAAAAAAAAAAAAAGGTCATTTTAAGAAATAGTTTTATTTTAAATCCAAACCATTGATAGTTATATTAATTTTAATACTATTATGATCCCGACTCGACACCAGTGAGTTTGGTTTTCTTTTCTGTTTTTGTGTGTGTTATGATCCTAGGTTTATCATAGTATAGAATACAAAAGTAATATGTTACTGGGCAAAACTGGAGCTGTCCCTATTTTATATCTGGAGGGCACTTCTATCAGCACCTGCACCTTTGATAAGTAGTTTTTCATGGTTCTCTGGTTAAAAACATGAGAAAAAAATGGCTCTGAGTAAATATGAAGAGATGAATGTAATTTGCAATTATCCTAAAGCTTTATTTGGGTTTTAAGTTTTGAAGTTACAAAGTGGAAGGAAGTAAGTTTCATAAAAGGCAAATTTTATTAGCTCGATTTAGCCCACTAAAATGAATGTTTGATTATGTTCTTAAGATTCTCATTGAATCTAGTAAATGTCTGAGCTGGTAGATAGTTTAGTCATTAAAACTATAATCTAGTTAAAGCTAAGGGAGCTAAATAAACTAATTTTAATCAAATTTACTTTGATTTCTCTCAACCTCCCCACTCCTCTGTTTTTTCACCACAGGTCACAGTAATGAAAGGCAGTAATAGAAATAAAGATCATTCAGCAGAAGGAGAAGGGCCTGGAAAACGACCAAAACGAAAGTGTCTTCAGTGGCATCCATTACTAGCAAAGAAACTTCTTGACTTTTCAGAGGAGGAGGAAGAGGAAGACGAAGAGGAGGATATTGATAAAGTATGTCCTCCATTTATGATAGAGTAGGAAAGTTTATTTGTGCACTCACAATATATGAGACACTGAACCTGTAAGGTAGGAGAGATGTATTTCTAAACATCCATGTCATTTGAATCTTATTTAACTGCTTGTATTTTCATTCTAATTACTGATTATTCTTATCAAAACCTCCTGAATAGTTCAGACTAACAGAGAGCTTTCTTAAATAGGAGTTCTGTCCATTAATTAATAATTTGTGAGTAATACTCAAATGTTGTGGTGATGGAGGGATTCATAAAATTTAAGGTGCTTCTGAAGAGATACCACCTAGTCAACCCAAAAAGGGGTCGCTATGAATGAAATCGACTTGATGGCAGTGAGTTTGGTTTGGTTTTTGGTTTTCCCTGGCACCCAGCCCATTGATGTTCTGAATTCTTTCTTTGGTTCCAACCTAGCCCTGCTACCATAGGCAATCTCAGAACTGCTTTATTAGCCTTCACCTCTGTGGCCTTCCTAGCATCTGGCTGCCCTCACCCCACCAAGCCTCTGTGATCAATCAATCTTCCAAGTTCCTTCTCTGACTTTATACCTGAGTAGCCAACGCTGTTTAGAAAGTCACATGACCAAGTGTGTGACTTTAGAAAGTCACTCGTTCTTCCAGGGTTTGGCATGGCTGTCTGGCTGGCTCATCTTCATTCATGTGTGAGCACAAAGGCTCCCTCCAAAGGAACTAAGCCTAACCATCTCTGAAATATCTCCACACCCAACTCATTTTCATGTCACAGGATTTCCTTCATAGCACTTAGTACTATTTGCCATCTATTTAGGTATTTACTTCTTCACATCAGTCTTCCCAGATTAGAATATAAGCTCACTAAGACCGAGATCCTTCTTACTTCTCTTGTCTTCTCTTTTCCTAGAATCTAGAATGGTACCTCAGGAGCTCTGGTAGTGTAGTGCCTAAGGCACTTGACTGGTAACAAGAAGGCTGGCAGTTCAAACACACCAGCCACTTCTCAGAAGGAAGGGTGGGCAATCTACTTCCGTAGTGATACTGCCTCAGAAACCCAAGGAGGGGTCGCCGCTATGAGTCAGATCCGACTCCATGGCACATAACAACAACAGAATGGTACCTAGCACATAGATATTTGCTAAAAGAAAGAATAAATGAGTACAGATTTTACAAGTACATGTTTTTCATATTTTCCAAGCATTTTGCTCTCCATTTCAGTCTTTTTCTTGATTTGATCAGCTCCTTCCCCTACTTGTCTCAGCAGGAATTACTATTTTTCCAGGTACTCATACATCCTCTCTGGATTCTCTTTCCTATCTCTCTCAGTAGTGATCCTTTCTCCTCTTTAACAGAGAAAAGAGAGGCCACCAGAAATGAACTTCTTCAGCTTTCTCTACTCACCTACACACACATCTATCACATTACCAGCTTTTCCTCCTCCTTTCCTATCTTAGAGAAATGGATGATATTCCTCCTATTTTGGGAAATTGCCAAATTGATACTCTGATCTTCTGACACACTTGTACCTGTTGATCTCTTGGTTTTTGAGACTGTCTCCTATTTCCATGACAGCACTCACTCCTGGTTCTATTGCTGCCTTCCCAAGTCTTCCTCTGTAGTTTCTTTCAGTTGATGAAGCATTCTACTGTTCTACCCTCACATGTAATATTTCCTGGGCCCTTAATTTATATCTCTATCCTGAACCTTTCTCCTGGATTCTAGAGTTGTATATCTGACCATGTACTTGACATATCCATTTAGATATTTAATAGGAACCTCAGTTTCGATGTTTTCAAAACCAGCTTTTCCAGTGAGTTTCCATGTATGATGATGAAAAATTTGGCAGTGGATATTGGTGATGGTTGTACAACGTGATTGATACAATTGGTGTCACTGAATTGTATACTTGAAAAGTGTTCAGGTGACAAATTTTGTGTATTTTTATAATTATTTAAAACAAAAATAAGCTTTTGATTATCTCCTCCAAGCCTTATCCTTTTGGATCTTCCTTTTAATAATAAATGACAGCTCTAGCATTCTAATTGGTTAGACCTGAAACTTTGCAGTCATACTTCACTTCTTTCTTTTACTCAAGCCTCATATCCATCTATCAGCAAATCTGTCTATACCTTCAAAATGGGACCCCATCAGTTTGACTCCTTAAAAACTCAACCACTGCCACCTTGATCCAAACCACCACTATTTCTAATGTGGATTATTGTTCCTGCTTGTCTCCCTGTCTCTGCCCTTGCCTCTCTACAGTCTATTGTCAGAAAAGCAGCCAAGGGATCCTTTCAAAAACGTAATGCCAGTATACTCATCCTCTGCTTGATGAAGGAGGTGACTTTGTATGAGCACTGCTCTACTCCCATCACCTAGAACAGTGTCTGGTCCATAGTGGGTGCCCTACCAGTTGCTGTGAAGTCAGTTTCAACTCTTGGCAAGTCATGTGTGTCATAATAAAACTGTGCTTCCTAGTTTTTTCAATGTTTGATTTTTCTTAAGCAAATCATCAGAGCCCTAAATAGACTTAAACCTCCAACCTGTTCGTTAACAGCTGAGAGTGTTAATCTTTGTGATACTGGTCTCCAGTAGCCACCTCACGTTGAGCTTGCTCAGCACTGATCTTTCTGCTCTTCACCCGAACTAATTTTCTTATTTGAGGAAAAAACTATTCTGTTCGTATGGAAGAATCTATCTTCCAAACTGGAAACTCTCTGCCTCTTTCAACTTTCAAATCCAGTTAAATACCACTCATTGTAAGTTCTGCCTCATAAATAAATATTGTCTTGTTTCCACTTCCCCATTCCTCTTACCGTTGCCTTGATTCACCACTGTTCCTTTCTTGACTGGACACCTAGAATAAGCTTTTAAATGGTTTCTGTAGTTTATCTTATTTGTTCTTTCTTTCTTTATTCATATTTTTAGTAAATGAATTTAAGAAAATAATTGTAACATTAGATGATAGATTTTTTATTAAAATTTATTAATGTCCATGCTTGACAAAATAAAAAGTTGACAATATGTGTTAATTCCCCCATTTTTAATTGGTTCATAAAATCTGAACCCCTGTTTTACAGGATTAAATGCATTGTTTTTTGACATGGCTGAATATATTCTTCATGAGGTGATTCTTCCCTTCTCCGACAACCTCATCTCCTAAATCCTTGTCGTTTTTTACATACCAGTGCTATTGAACTAACTGTAGTTCAGATAAATGACTGAGCCTTAATCCCTGCCAATTACCAATTCTCTCCATTGACTACTTGGCACATTCTGATTCATCTTTCAAAATTAAACTCGCACAACACTTTGTCTAGGGATGCTACTCTGTGCTTCTTGCCGTCCTAGTTTTTCATTATCCTACTGGTTCCTCATGGCTGTCATCACACTACTTTTCAGTTAATTTACTTACATGTCTTTCTACCTTCTCAAAAGAGCAAGCTCCTAGGGCCAGGATCTTGTTTTATTTATCTCTTGATTCTTGCTCTGAATTTTAGAATTTGGTAACTGAATCAAAAGAGTTATTCTTTTCAGAAGGTAAAATATAATCACTTCCTTAAAGTACATAATAAATTTTTTATTGCTGGTATTTCCTTCTCAGCTTCTGAGTCAGTTTCAGAATGCTAATCTTTTGAAAATGCAAATCATTGTTAACGATTGTATACATAATAAGGAAAAGAAAATGCATAGTCTTTACTTCCGATATTAAACCCTAATGTATTTCCAAATCAGCTATAACTTCAAGATTTTTCTGTACTGCTTGCATTTGAAGATAATTGATAGTTAATTAAATGCACTTGCAGTACTTATTTAAACATAAAAGTCTTTGAAAAATGCCAAATTGGATTAAGCTAGTGATTCTTACCAGACTGTTTTACCAGTTACCCCAATAAAAGCTATGTAAAAGAACACAGTTGCCCTCTAGAAGTGATTTTCAAAGTGTGGGCCTCAGACAAGCATCATCAGCATTACTTTATCAGAAATCACAGACTTGTTAGAAATGCAGATTCTCAAGGCCCGCTCAGATGGGATCAGACACTCTGGGAATGGGGCCCAGCAATCTGTTTTAACAAGCCTTTCAGGGATTCTGATTCGTACTCTCATATGAGAATCACTGCCCTTCCGTATAATGCAAACTAACACCAACCTCAAACCTTCTTGATTTTAACTGTGAAACTAGAAATTAAAGAAATGATTTTAGTAAGCACTCTGGACTTCTGCTTATACTTGGCATTGTTCCACAGAAGCATTGTAAAATCACATTTTAGCTTTGGAAGGTATTTAAGAATCTAAAATGTTCTGAAATTCTGTGGTCAGAGATGTGCTTTAAGAAATCTAATCTGGCAGCCATGTACAGGAAGTATTGTCGAGAAGATTAAAAGCAGGAAGACTAGGCCATAGGCCAGAGTGGTACCAAGGCAGTAGCAATGAGGATTAAACAGATGGGGTGGAAAAAAGCAAAGCTTTACAGAAGTCAGTAGACCTTGACGACTGATTGACTGAAATGCTTAGGAAAAGGGAGGATTCAGAACTAATTTTGAAGGTTTAAGCCTTGGTGAGTTTATTCTTATCACCTAGCATTTCCCTAAACAAGAAAGTTTAATTACTATTTGCAGGCTTGAAAATTTAGAATGTAATTCTGCTTTCAAATAATCACGTTAACTTGTCTTTTGATTTTCACAGTAGGAGCTCCACTTTTGATGTTTGCCAAAAAAGAGTAGCGTATATTAGCTTCTCATTATCTGCTTTCATGTAAACATTTTCATATTATTAGCTGTAGAAAAATACTTCTGAATAGGAGAAAGATAGAACTAATATTTGTGTATTTTATATCAATATTGTTAATATTGAAAATCCATATACTGCAGACTGAGTTTATTCATACCTTCATTCATTAAGTACTAATGTTATATCAGACAGTGAGCTCTAGGTACTGTGGTTGCAAGAGTAAATAAGAGAACTTCTGTACTCAAGTAGCTCACTGTTTAATGAGAGATAAAAAATATAAACAATTACAGGACAATGTGTAATAGAGACATGCATATGTTGAAATAGAAACTAAGAAGAGTACATCATAATTAGTTTTACCAACCACTCTTAGTGGTTGAAAAATAATAAATCACCATTCCCCCCCCCCCCCCCCCAGTTTATAAGGTTGATAATGGAGCTAAGAATAAATAAAATGCAATTTGTAAGCCAAGACTCTTTGTTAGAGAAAAATTGTCCAAAATGTATTAAACAGCTCACACTTGTTTTGGTTGGTTGTAGGTTCAACTTCTTGGGGCCGATGGCCTAGAGCAAGATGTTGGTGAGACTGAAGATGATGAATCACCAGAACAGCGAGCCCGGAGACCAATGAATGCATTTCTCTTATTTTGCAAACGCCATCGCTCCCTTGTACGTCAGGAACACCCCAGGCTTGATAACCGAGGTGCTACCAAGATACTAGCTGATTGGTGGGCTGTTCTTGATCCAAAGGAAAAGCAGAAATACACAGACATGGCCAAGGAGGTAAGTTTCAGTGACTAGGAATTACCATGGTTATGAGTAACCAACCCTATACCTGCAGCCAGCATATATGGAGTACCTGCTGAAAGTCTAGAAGCATGTAAATGAATCTCAAATCAGGTTTTAAGTGAAAACATAAAACTTTTCTTTGCCCTTATTCATGTGTCAAATATACCCTGCAAATGCTGGTAGAGATGCCAAAAGCAATATTACCAAGACTTTTTTTCTCATTGGACGTTATTATTGTTGTTATGTGCCATCGAGTCGGACACGACTCACAGCGACCCCTCCTTGGGTTTCAGAGGCAGTATCTCTACAGAAGTAGATTTCCTCATCTTCCTTCTGAGGAGTGGCTGGCAGGTTTGAACCGCCAGCCTTCTGATAGCAGTCAAGTGCCTTAGGCACTATGCTACCAGAGCTCCCTCGCTTTGGACAGTACCCTCCAATTGATTTCAGGGATTAGTTTATTATGAATGATAATTGCTGTTCCTCTCAGGAACTTATCAGTGACTTTATTTAAGTTTCTCCAGGAACTAGCTTCTGGTGTCTGAGAATGCCATGGTAAATGTAGTCGTAGGTTACTCAAGTTGTATCATGAGAAAGTGCTCATCTAGATTTGATACTAAATAGCTTTGTGACCATGAATAAGTCAATCTCTCTGGGAGTCAACTTTTTTTCTTTTTCTCTTCTTTTGTTAGTAGACTGAGGAAGTTGGACAAGCATTTGCATCCCTTCTGGCTCTAACATTTTTTTCATTTTGTAATAAACAGAATTATCGAGAGATATGCTTTGACTTGTTTTTGTTCTGTAGGTAGTACAGCATGAATATTTAAAACTAATAAATGAATTAATGGCCATGGAACAGGTTGTACTGTGATGTGTGCATACATGTAAACACTGTGTAGGAAGTAGTTGGTGAAAAGCATTATACACGGGAATGATAGTCAGAGAGGAGCATTAATCATTTCCAAATGTCTTAAGAAATCCTAAACTCGTTTTATTTCTAAATTCATCTGGAATTAATGTGAGATTATTGTGCATTTAAATGTATTGTGTAATAGATTTAACTGTAGTGGCATAGTGCCTAAAGCATTTGACTGCTAACCAGAAGGCTGGAGTTCAGTCCCACCAGCCACTCCTCAGAAGGATGAATGGGCAATCTACTTCCGTAGTGATACTGCCTCAGAAACCCATGGAGGGGTCACTATGAATCAGATGACTCAAAAGCAGTGCTTTTGGTTTTTTATTTTTAATTTAAGGGACCAGCAAAGGAATATCATTGTGGTTAAATTTAAAAGTACTTTTTACATTACTTCTTAAGTGTTGCAACTTATGAAAAATACCTCAATTCATGAAACCCCCTGCCACCCAAACATTTTGGTTAAGGTTCCCTAAAGAAATGAACCAGCAGGGCACAAAAAATTGAGTTTGAAGTGACATTTTATTAGACATCTCAGTATGTTGAAAAATAATACTTTCAGTTACTATGGTTTTATTGAGTTATTTAACAAGCTAGCATGGAACATAAAAATCTCTTATGAAATGTTCAGGGAAATTTGAACCCAGAATAAATGACTAGCATGGTTACTGTGTAATTAGTGATGACATGAAGCTACAGAAGTTGACGATCGTTAAGGACAGGATTTTAACTGTGTACGGCATCCAGAAAATTTAAAATCAATTCCATTAACCTACATGTTTTTAAATGTTTCAGTAGATTTCCACTAGCATAACAGTAATTAACAGGAAAACTTTCCCATTAAATAGTCTTATATTCTTTCCAAGTCATGCTTATAAAGTAAAATAAACAATTATCTGAAACCTCATTGGGAACTGCATTAGCTTCCTATCATTAAACACTTGAGTTTGTTGTTGGATTGCTGTTTTTGTATAACACGCAGTCAGCCCCAAGTATACTGTTTGCCTTTTCTTAAATGCTGCTAATTTGCAAACTCAATAGGTGGCCACTTTTAAGAGGAGTTATTATTTTTATACAGGAAATCCCTTACTAATTACTTAATCAGGTTCACAATATTTGCCATTGTGGTGCTGGAATGTAATCTGCTAAGGTGGCCCCCTGCAGTGTGCTGAAAGTGGAGACCATGACTGGATGTTATGCATCATGACTTGCTTTGTTTATAGTGGCTCTTAGGAAATGTTGCCTCACACTGGTGGTTCAGCTCTTTTCAAAATTATTATACAATTGCTTTCTAATAATTAGTCATATTTATTGTTTCCCTTTTATTTACTAGATGGTTCTGAAATTACATTAAAGAGCAGGTAATTAAGTTGGTGATTTTTGTGTTAATATTGCAGCCTTAATTGGAATGTCAGTTCAGCCAACAAATATGTATTGAGTGGCATCAGTGTGCCAGGTTTTGAGGCAGGTGCTAGTGATACCAGACCAGTGATAAATATGGTCTCTATTGCTCCAGGCACTGCCAGGCAATCATTTTTAAACTAAATTCTAGATGTGTTACCTTGTAATTTTAACTACAAGCTATAAACGTTCTTTATTAAGTACAAACCATATTCTTTCAGCATAGCATATGTGCATGAATGTGAATGCTTATATGATATTTGCCAATAGGTATCTTGCCATTAAAAAAGAGCTCTGGTAACACAATGCCTAAGGCATTTGACTGCTAACCAGAAGGTTGGTGGTTCAAACCCACCAGCTGCTCCACAGAGGAAGATGGGGCAATCTACTTGGTGAAAATTCACCACCATGGAAACTCAGTGGGGGTGACTGTGAGTCAGAATCAACTACATGGCAGTAAGTTTGGTTTTATCCTGCCATTACCAGTTGAGGGAGAAATGCTGTTTTTTTTTTCTCCTTTTGTTTTTTACATAAAGGTAATTAATGACACATTTAAAAAAAAATTATTTATAAAAATTATGAGTAATAATACAACTTTGGAGAGAGATTCTCTTTTTACCTGGTAGTATATGCAGATTTCCTCTGACCCCTCCTTTGCTCCTGATTACTTTATATTAATGCATCTGGTGAGAGGAAGCACCCATTCTAGGATTTATTTTCAGTTTCTTGAATTATTGCCCAGTACTAATTTGCATTGTTAGAAAAAAATGTTTGAATTAGTGTTTCGTGTTCTCCGGTGAAATTTTGAAATTTGAATCTTATTAGAGCAGTAATTGGTGGCAATTTAAAAATACTGTCCTAAGGATACAGCCTGGCTTGCTTTCTTAAGTTTAACCATGTGCATGACTATGCAGTGTTGTGAATGTTCACAGGTTCTAATTTCTAAATGTGTGCCTGCCTGTTTGGAGGCATAGAAGCAAGTTTACTTTTACTTTTAATATCTTTATGTATGTACTCTTGTGAGAATGTGAGTTTCTGCGTGCCTTCCTAGGATATAGCTGGAACCTTCCACTTGTCACTTAAACTAATGATCATAATTAATTGACAGTCAATTCAGAGGATCATGCATCTTGACCTCCAACTAGAACAGAGTCAGTGCAAAGACAAAGAGGGAGGATCTGGAAAGACAATTTCAAATGACCATTATAACACTTTTTTTTTATTTTAAGGATTTTTTGATTGCTTGGTTCATTCTGTGCTCTCTGTTTTATGTAAGCACAAACATGTAAAGTCAGTTATAATTATCCCCATCTCTAGAGCAAGAATCTGAGGCTCTGAGGAGTTACTGTCTTGACCAGTCATAAGTTTAATGAACTTTAGAACTGGTAGACACTTACCTGTTTGACTCCAGCACTCTTTTAATATGTCATGAATCAGAACTGACTCGAAAGCAACTTACAACAGCAACACTACCCCTGGGTCATGCAAATGGTTAAGCAGTCAGCTGCTAACTGAAAGGTTGATGGTTTGAGTCCACCTAGAAGTGCCTCAGAAGAAGGGACTGGTGATCTACTTTAGAAAGGTTATGACTGTTGAAAACCCTGTAGAGTGCCATTCTACTCTGACACACATGGAATTAGAATCAATTCCACTGCAGCTGGTTTGTTTTTTTAATGCTACCCTGGTAGCATAGTGGCTAAGGCACTTGACTGCTAACCAGAAGGCTGGCAGTTCAAACCCACCAGCCACTCCTCGGAAGGAAGGTTGGGCAATCTACTTCCGTAGTGATACTACCTTGGCAACCCAAGGAGGGGTCGCTATGAGTCGGGTCTGACTCGACGGCATATAACAACAACAACAACAACACCTGGTAGAGGGTCAGTGAAAAGGGAAACCCTCAATAAGATAGAGCATCATAGTACCTACAACAGTGGGTCAAACATACCAATGATCATAAGGATGGCACAGGACTAGGCAACGTTTTGTTCTGTCATGAGGTTGCTGTGAGTCAGAGCTGACTAGAGGGTAACTAGCAACAACTTACCCACTTCAGATTACTGGAAAGTAAGTAGATTGGATTATGTATGGCAAGATTGTTAGTGGAAAAAAAAGTGCCATAGGTCTTACAGGGAGAGCCTGCTCATGCTGCAGTAGGAGGTTAGGTTAGTATTGTGTGCTCAGCAAGACGATTTTAACTCATACCAACCATACAGAGCAGAATAGAACTGCTCCGTACAGTTTCCTAGGCTAAAATCTTTCAGGAAGCAGACTGCCTCGTCTTTCTTCTGAGATACAGTTGGTGGGTTCTGAAGCCAACTTTTTTGTTAGCAGCCAAGTGCTTATCCATTGCAACATGAGGCCTCCTTGAGAAGTAGGGGAGTGGGTGATGGCATCTCAGGAAAGACTTAATGAAGTAGATAGAATTTGACCGAACTTTGGTATAGGATTCAGAGAGAAAGGCAGATTAAGAGCAGATAGGGGAAAGTAAGAACAGTTTCAGAAGTCAGAAAGTTTATTTTACCTGGAGCCTTGGGTAAGATAGAGAGGAGTACTAGGAAGTGATGATGTTAAAGTTAATAAGGCAAAAATCACAGGAGATCAGCTTGAAGTTTTAGGTGTCTGCCAATAAAAGACTGTGGAATCAAATGCTGTAAAATGGAATTTGAAGGTATTTTTATAATCT